CCGGGGTAGTTATGACAGCCTAAAAGGCCGGGATTATTTTTAGCGATTCGAGAATGGCCGGGGACAGGGTCGATACGGCGCGATGTTGCAGCGCGGATGATAAGAAGCCGAACTGCACATTTCCGTGGCATTCCGAAGCTCACTCGTGGCCTGTACAATCAGCTCATTGTGTTCTCTTTCTGTTTGCATTTGTATGAAAATATTGTGCGTCGGTTTTTTTTTTTTTATTTTTTTCTTTTTTTTTTTACAAGGACTTACCTGGGGTGCTCCTGGTTTCCAAGTGGCTGGAATCGAATCCTAGGATCGATAGAAAGAGAGACGGAAAGAGAATCTTTTATGCATTTTCTTGGTATAATACGTCGACGGTAGAGTGAATTCAATGATTAATACACGTACAGTGGGCACGAAATTTGCATATCATTTGCGTTGCACTAATTAATAGTGTTTGTTGTAATAGGACATTCATTTGTTAGAAATCTGTGAATGCACATAACGTGCAGAAATATACACATTGAAAGTAGGATGCTTTTTATAGTAGTAATTAGTAGCGCGAACGAATTTCCGCTTTATACTTTCTACTCTGTATTTCTCTCTTATTTTTATTATACGTGGGACAACTTCTTGTTTGATCGGCCACTTCTATCGAGTTCGTTGCATTTTGTATATTTAAATTCTCTTGAATCTAAGATTTAATCAAAGCCCGATTTTGATATTTTCAACTTTTCGTAACATTTCTTATTTTAAGCCTTGATTTAACTTCTTTGACTTTGTTTTATACTACGAGTTCAGTTTCTCAATTTGTTCAAAATGTCCGAAAAGTTCCGTTTCTCTAACTCATTAGCTGTAAAACGAAACAATAGTTACTTTGTGGGCTTCCTATTTTATTTCGTAAGACGTGTTTAAGTTGTCTCGTTGCATCTCGTAATTTTAGTGAATATCATTAACGATGATTGCATCGTGAAACACGGAGCCAGATTAAAGCCAGATTAAATTCATCATTAGAGCATGATGAACGAGCATTGATTCATAGTACTGCAGAACGCATCCGGGGAAAAAGGACATGACAAATTACACTTTGCTTATTATATGGAAATTCTATATATATATACATATTTTGAATTAATACATTTGATTTAACAGTTGATCTATTCTTGAATATTTTTCAAATATTGGTATTAGTAAATAACTGTAGTTATGTCTAATTACACGTAACAATAGCTTATTCTGCAATTTATTATCTATTTTTACTTATTTTTCAAAGATATATTTATATCTTCATACTGTCGGCGTGTAGTTTTTTTCTTATCAACTCAGTTATATTAAGATACTTTGTTTTCCTCGCCGATTCCTACAGAAAACCAATTTCACATTGAAAACGATCCAATGTTTTCCTAAAATCTGTAATTTTCAAGGTGTGTTTCATACGTGATATATATTTCTACTGAATGTTCATAAATATTGGAGTCAGCATACGTGCATAATACGATCGTTTATTCACGTTCTTTCTTTCTTTTTTCTGGAAAGTTACATTACCACTTTTCGCCGTAACACAAAACAAGTTGACAGAAATCGCTTGACTCAGCCAGTGACTCGGACGAAAGTGCTCGTACGTAATTGTCGCACGGTACGTCGCACGATCTTAGTCACATGCAGATGCGCGAAATGATTATCTTTTCCCTGGCTTCGTGCGACGTTCACGCGGCCAGTGACGTCTTGTTTAATCTCGCTTAATGCCGAATATCGCTTAATTACGTACTCGAGGCGGCGTCAAGCGTCCAATTGGATTCGCGTTCCGATCGAAGGATACGCGTGGAAATCTACAGAAATTAAAGGCCAGGCCTAGCGGTAGTAAAATACAAATAAAATACTATGCGCAAAAACGCGAGAGAAGCAACACGCTACCATTTCAACCGGATCCGAGCAAACGGAATGCGTAATGAAATACACGCGTCTGTGAAAGTCTCGCCAGGTCTCGGGTGATCTTCCTTCTCTAGAATTTCGGCCAGGTACACTACCGGTCGTAAAGTATTGCCCGAGTTCTGTCTACTGGAATATTTACGAATAAATAAAATCACTCCACGAAAGATAACGACGATGTAATTACGACTAGATTGCGGGATGTTCGTACGAGATTTCGTATTTCTATAAACGTAAATTGAAGAAGTGTAACGTTCATTTACCGAATGTTATAATATAATAAATGTTTGGATATTTTATGTATTATGTACATATTTTTGAATGTTTCAATGCATGCCTCGCAATGGTGGTGAAAATACTTTCATACTCATATATTTTCATGACACGATTATTTAATTTCCCCAATTTTTTGAAACTTGTCGCAAGACATTCGAACGAGGGTGGTTTAATGGAAACGTACATTCGGCGTGTAGATCGTTTTATTTAAAACGCGTACTACACTGTCGACTGCACGTGTTGCAAGTTAAATTGTATTTTTCGGAGAGGAAAAGACTAGGGGAGGCCGAGTATTTATCGAGGATACTCGTAGAGCGAGCGTGTATTATTCGTGGGATCGCGTCGAGCGGTCTACACCGGAAATTCGAGCGTGGAGGAAAGGGGCGCTGGGGAAACCGATGGCCATGGTTCGCCCTACGAAGGGCACCGACAACAACGCTCCCGTCCCTGGCCTGAAGAGTCTACCGGCCCATTCCATTCGAGACCCGTCGTCGTCTC